CTCAGAAACATCTTTCCCACAAGGAGTATAAAGAAGCCTGAGGTGAACATCTGTCACCCCTAACCCATGTTAGAAAGCTAACAGATTGATGGAGAAGTTTCCAGCAAATATGGCATCTTTATCTGTAGCTTTCCATTTTCCAAATGTTGACAGCAATCAAACAAACATCTTAGCAGCCATCCGTCACCAACAACCAACTACTGCAAGTGATCTTTAAAGAGTTTCATCTGCAAGCCATGTTTTCCTCAATGGAGAAATCCAATTAGAGATCATTTGTCACAAGCAGCAACACAAGCATCTAACAATTTGTTTTCAGGAGAAGTATGTGAAGATGCTCTCTCATATCACTGTGCCAAAGTCTCAGACAGATTTTCTCTCATCTCAAATCTAGGACTATCAGGTAAAATGAGAAGACTGCCATTGTAGGATTGCATTGACTGAGACAGCTCTGACTAACAAAGACAGCAATAACTCTATACATTCATCTGCTTATAGACTCCCCAGATCAAGTCCTCCAGAACTTTAAAGTTAGATTCTGTCTCACAAGGGACTTCAAAAAGAGATTCCTCCCTGCAAATAGAAGAAATCTTGCTAGAAAGTAAAAAACTATCAGAAAAGAAGTTTTACTCCTCAAAGATGGGGGGGAAATCTATGTAGGCTTCCTAGCATAGACTAAATCCACTGAAGGAACTGATCTCAACATCTTCCACTGTTTTCTGTGGTGTAAAAAAATCACTGCCATCAGCACTTATAGTAATCGGAGTGCCACCTGCCTGTACTGACATCTCAATGGTAGTCAAGCTTCTAAAAGTACTGAAACATACTTACCAGCAGTTAAGGAACCTCTTTGAATGTATTGATTCAATTTGTACTGTACAAACCTAATGGAGCTCCCCTTCAGGCATTTTTTGGTGCTGTTTCTCTGATGGCCCTTGTACTTGTCAGTAAACCAGCCAAAAATCTCAGGGGACTCAAACCTCTGAAAGTGCTCTTCCATCTCCAGTGTTCCACAGGGACAGGTAGGACTGATATCTCTTCTCAGGGTTTTTCTACTGAAACTTTCATTTGAATCTGTCTGTTAATTCACCTTATTATTTTCTTCCAAATGTGTATCTATCCAGAAGATATTCTAAGCCATGGATATTTCAAGGGGCTTCAGTATTACCAGGACAATACAAAGTCTTTTAGTCTTTATGCTCATGTTTTAGCTCTTGTTGTTACAGCTCTGAGAAGCCAAGCCATCACCTGTAAAGAAGTTCAGAATGTGTTATGTTAAGGCATCTGCATGCTATGATATTGTCTGTTCCGTATTGCCTTTGAAACATTGAAGTTGGTTCTCCTGGAGTGCAAATTTCATCCACTCCTAGCTTACCAAGGATTCAGTGTTTGGAAAGCCCCTAAGCACAATAATCCTCTTACTTCTGTGAAACACTATTTCCTTGACGGCAAGATCAGATGCCAAGTCTAATATATCAGTCAGTATGGCTATTCAAAAGGCTTAGATGTTCCCTGAACTCACCTGGATGTGGTGTGTTCTTTGCTAACAGCAACCAGGAAGCCTCACTCCCAACTACCCAGGCGGAGCACTCTTTATTGATTACACAGACAGTAGGATTACTAGGAAACCAGAAATATCAGTTAGCTTATTTGACGCTGTGGCTTCTGAGACTTTAAGCCTCTCTGTTGAGGCTCTCTTCTTTCCCAGAGTCCTCCCCACTCAGGAACCTGAATTAACGATTGACATAAGCTATGGTTTCATTTTTGTGTCTGTAGGGGCTTTAAGGACATGCACAGGTTAGCAGCAGCTCAAGTAATGTGACCATTTAAAAGACTGGCATTTTGACACACACACAGAACATCGTTAAAATCAAGTACATGTGGGCAACAATATTCTGAAGAGCTTTCCAGACATGCTATAGGATTCCCTCAGCATTTCACCTACCAAATCTTTATTTTGGCTTCCAGTGCCACTGTCTCTGTTTCTTGACCTCTTCTGCTCCCAAACATCTCTGTTACCTTTTAAAATATGATAATATCAAGAAAAAGAAAAAAAAATGGCCCAACTACTTCCACTGCACTTTTCCCTGTTGAGGGACAAGTTTCTTCTTATGCAGAAGCACCTGCCTAGATATTGCTCTTCCCGCTCTTAGCCTGCAGATCCTCTTTTATTTTGCTCCTACATGCCCCTGGGCTTGTTTGTGATCAGGTCATTTTGGGTCCGTTTTCTCTACGATGGAAATTGCTCAGGACATCGTCTTTTGGCTGAACTTCCTATTATTGTTGTTGCCCTTTCTCATTCAGTTACATGCATGTTACTTGTGCTCCAAAGGACAGGAACAGGGTGGAATAGCTGAAGTTCCTTTGCAGGTTAGATCACATGCAGCAGGAGAGATGGCTGTAAGTTATAGAGAGTAGAGCCTATGCCTTCTTTTTTTAAGTGGTGTCGTTTCTCAAAAAGCTTCTTCAAAGATATTATACAGATGAAGATTTGCTTTTGTACGTTGTTCTGAGATTTGTAGAAAGGAAATCATGTCCACTTTAGATGGGAATTAGACACTGGCTTTAATTCCAAATACCTGTCACCACGCTTTTCTTCTCTGTGAACTGACGTGACTGCTATGTTCTCGGGTGCCCAGTGCCTGTCCTTGTACTAAAATTGGTATAGCTGCATCAGTCACAGAGTTAAAAATTCTCAGAAAAACTAGCAATCTTTCTCTCTACAGTATATTTAGGGATGGCCCCTATGGAAAGTCTCAGGAATAAGTTCTCAGATATCTATCCACAGTCCATTTGGGGGCTCTTTGGCACAGGTGGGAAATGGTGGGATTTGGCTCCTCTCTCAAATCCTCGTGGATATCAAAGAAGGTATTCAGCAACCCTCAGTTCAGTATGTCCCCATTATATGCACATGCACAAAACACTGTATGAGCACAAGCATATCAGGAGCCTCAGCCCACTATGCCAGGGTCTATACAAATATCACCTGCCAACATTAACAGAAGCTCTCCTAAGCTGCTTTTGAGCTTTTGTTGTAGTTATTGATATACTTTATTTCATAATTGACTCCATCTTAAAACATAGGCCAGTTAGGGGAATGAGGGAGGAATCAGGCAATCTCTGCTTTCTTAGCAGTCCCCAAAGGTACTCAGAACCTGTGGTTCATGGTTTTTTAACACATTGCCAGCTCCTTAAAGTTGAGCATCTCGGTTCAACAGTGCAGTCTTAGCTGCTTATATAATCATATCCTTTTATGCAGAATTTTTTACTGTTACACTACTAGTATCCTCACTTTCAAGTGAAACACTAATGATAACAAAATGGCAATTAAGATACAGTATTCCACAGTAAATTACAAGGCTTCCTCAAAGAGTCAGTCACAACTGCACTGAGATGCACTGACACTGTCAGCCAGGAGGGATGGAGAATCCTGAAAGGTGCTGAAAAACCTTCTGGGTTCCTTCAGTCAGGCGATCGCAGGTGCTTTGTACCTCCTGCTAGGAATGCAGCAGTTAGCAGGTTGAAACTTTCTCCTGTTACTAGAAAAAAGATGATTTGCAAAACTGATAGAAAGTGGAAGGGGGTGGGACAGAGAAAGTCACGGTTGAAAAGGAGAGGTTTGCCCAGCAACATGAAATCAAAATTTACGTCTGGTCTGCAAGAAATGTCTCTGTGGGCACTGCTCCCTTATTGGGTATTCAAGCCATCTTTTGCCTGTATGTGATCTGAAAAGAAAACACAAGAGCCAACTCGTGGAAGAGGAGGAAAAAAGCAATGAGTGCTGACAATACCAAACCAATCAGTTAACCCAAAACAATAGTGTATGATTAGGTGTAGCTTGGGTTTTTAATTGTTCTCATTTGCATGTATCAGTAGGCTGGGCATCCAAAATACAGTTTTTATTTCGGTAGTAACAAAATACAATGCCACTTTGGTTAGTGCAGTGTGCTTGGAGAGCAGGAGCAGACTGCAGGAGTCCTTTGTGGCACTAGAGGGGAATTCTGCTACTGGAAGAAGAAATGTATCAGTTTCAGCTTTGCTAATGTAGTCACAGGAAGTAATGTCAGACAAGTCTGGCATACAGGGCATATAGCAGAGGTTAAGCCTGGAGGATTGTGCTGCCATTTAACTGAAGGACTCCCAGTGAAATTATTCTTATTTTTAATTCTACTTCTTACGCCTAAGGGTATTTGCTGCCTTGTGTGTTTTTTAGGATTGATCCCAGTATCGGAAGGGGCCCCAGAAGTTAATCAAGGACTAAGGGCAAGCACAGTGTTTGCAGCAATTCAGTCGTTCCCAGGATGGCTGGGACTCAGCTCAGCTCCGCCTCAGTGGACACATCCATTGGGTTCCTGGGGCTTTACTGGGAGGTGGGCAAAGTTAGACCGAGCCAAACAACAGCTTTATCAGCCCACTTCTCCCAGCTGGCAGTGGATTCTGTAGGGTAGCCAAGAGCATGATTACGCTATCTCAGTCCATTGTTTTATTAACAACAACGTAATCACTGAGAACTACATGTAAGGGAATGGGGATATGTAAATAGAAAGCATTCCTTTAGCATTGGGGTATTATGGGTTTACAAATCAGACTGATGCACTAGAAGTTGGCTGCTCCCTATGCAGACATGGCCTGGGTCTGAGCTGGGCAGGTAAATCAGCCCCTGTATTGGACTTGACAGTAGAGATACCAGAAACATTGTAACAGTATCAGTACCTCCACTACCTGGGTTCCAGGATATTTAACGCTGATACTGGGTCAAATTAACATGTGGTGTTAGTGGGTACAGCTCAAATCAAATTCAGTGGGAGTTGTACCTACTTCTGCCATGGCCAGCTTTGATCCTGTGTGTCCCAGGGAATGAGCCCAGCCTCTTGTGCATTTCTTTCACACTCCCGATGCCCTCTTCTGCCATTTTGTTGCTCCTTTGTTAGCCAAGACCTAGTTTACTAGGCCTCTTGATTGGAGACTTATTACAGCTTATTTCTGTCTGCCTTTCTTTAAAGCCAGCTGAACATACCCAATGCTCTTCCTCTATGGTAAGACCGAAAATACAGACCACCCTCCCAGCTTCTGTGA